CTTTTTACTCCAATGTTCTGACCGCAAGAGTTATGGGCTTTTCCCATTTTCCAAATAACGCTGAAGTTGCTATGTCACGGCAATACGTCACGTTTCGAAAAAAAGGTAATTGATAAGTCACCCGTTGTCTTTAAACATATATAAACATATTTTAAAGAAGACAAAGGCCGTATGTAGTGTAATGTATTTTTTGCAATTTGGTTGGCGTACTCATGCTTAATACTGCACCCCAGAACTCGGAAATCTTTAGATTCCTGCGGTTAATTTTAGTTTTATTAATCTCAGCTATAGTATGTATTTTAGTTTATTGTTCAGTTCATTAGTTTAGTTTTAGTTATAGTTTCAGATAGCCTAATTTTTTACTCAATTTAATTTTTTAAGAGACATACGGTTGCTTTACGGTTTATCGTACAACAATATGTTTAAATGCCTTAGAGGCTATTGTGAGTTTTAAGAATGGGGAAGAAGCATGTATTTAATTGTTTTATTTTTATCTATGAATTTCGATTTACTTACCCGCCTATTTGCACACACTTTGGCAAAGTTCTTGTTTCATATTGGTTGTCTTTTCCATTGTAATTGTCGCCCGCGAAGTTTTGGTCATTTAAATTATTATTTCCTATCATTTTCTACATTTCTACGTTCTACCTTCAGTTTTCTTCTTTCCTGCGATATGACCCAACCACTATTAACACCGCTTTCGTAAGACAGAATCATGGAGCTAGGGCTATTTAAGGACTTCGGCCAACTTTATTGTTCCCGGAAAAAGATGTTTACGATGCAGTCTTTGATCTGTACATGAGGCTCGCCCCCTAGACGCATGTTGAGAAAATGGGCAGTCGTTGTTTAACTGATGTTCATCGATCAGCAATATCCAGTTACAGTGGCCTGGAAAAGTTGTGCTGTACGTTCGACTTTGGCATAGAGTTATACCTGCGGCCTGTCTACAAAGGGTTGGGCTTATTCGCAGATTTTCACTGTTAGTGAAAACAAACAAGCCCTCAGCATCTTTGCGGCTCTGCCATGCTCTGGAAACACATAGTAGGCATGAATCTTAGCTCAGTGATCTGCAGTTAAAGGGCGTAGAACAAATTTCACTTTTTTCCGAAGTGTACTACCTGTGCACCAGTTTCAGTGGGATCGATACTAGCCCAGCGATCGCCTTTCACATGTTCAGTGCATCTTATGACTGAAGGAGTATCTGCCTCATCACGTTCGCTTAAATTATGTCTTGTGCATGCGGTTGTTTAAAATCTTTGTATTATGTCCTTTCGGAACAGCGGATTGACGAATTCTTTTGCTAAATCATCTCATCCTAACTCACAAATTTGTCAAGGCACTGATCTTATGTGATCTAATATAATACATACGAAAGGCCGGTTACTCACATTTGAGTTTTAATTCTTTAGAAGTATGATAAAGTGGCAAATTTGTCTATGAGACCATAACACAGGGCGGCGGTGAATCCTTGGTCCTGCTTTGCTGACTAAACTTTCTACCTCTTCAGTAAGACCATGACTAATAACGTTGCGCAAAACCGAATTTGTATACAAGTCTTAAAATCTTATATGTCCACCTTTTCTGTCATATTTCCTGATCAAGCTTTCTTACTTCAGTTATCAACGTTCGTCCATATAAATGCTCAGAATTCTCCAACATCTCCTCATTTCTCCCCAGGGAAATATACGGATTGCCGGGCGATTAGACCGGCTTAAGTCGTTCAAATAGATTTTTAAAAAATGATTTGTTTTAGAACCTCGAATTGCTGCTCGAATTTATTCAGCCGTGTAGACATTTCCTTACGTATTGGGAAGTCAATTTAAAGTCCTGCAGTATTGGTCCGGAATGCGTGATTTGAAAATAATTGCCGTTTTATAGGCAGAAACACTGTAGTGACTTGGTAGCCACAGTTTTTTTCCTTTATTTCTGGTATGGAATCATGTTTCTGACTTTCATTAACCACTCAGTAAAAGTTAAATTTTTTCAGTGCCGTATGGTTTTCTACCACATTTCTCCTCTTGCCACAGCAAAAATATACCTACATTTGTATTGTTTTCATAGTTATTAAATCATTTTCTAGGGTTTTTTCCATCTGCCTAGAGGATATAGCACTTTCTCGATGGAAATTTAATATCCCTGGCATCACTTTTCTCGTAGGGGACCCTATATTATATCCAAAGTATATAAAGCAGCACATCATTTTCCTGGTATGCCTAAGGTCCGAAATAGTATTGCAGAAGACGCAGGCTGGTCAGTGAATTATAGTGACTCCTAAGCGAAACAAATTACCGCATGTAGGTTGGAATTAACATCGTTTTTGGTCAGACACCTGGAACGAGAACAGATATTGAGGCTTAGCAACCATTTGCCCACAGTTTACTCTAAGACCTTTAGACAACTTACGCAGCTTTCCATGACTTTGTGCACAAAATCATGCTTTTAAGAAGAAGAAGATGCAATTGCTGAAACAAAAAGTTTCTTAAGCTTAATTTTTTTGTAGTCTCGTTTAACCAGTCATTTGACGCGATAGCAAAAAAGAGCCTATGCAGTTCTTGTTCCAACGATCGCATCCTTTGTTTCTGGACGGCTTCGTGGAACTCGACCGTTAGCTTCCATCAGTATGCCTTTTCCAAGTGAAGTCTTTTCAATTATTTGAATCTCTTAATGAAAATGTAAACCAAAAAGTTTATAAGATGAATTTCTGCTATTTTATTCAACAACTATCCAGCAAATTGATCGATAAAAGGATCCTTTGTTTATTCGCGGAATGTACCCCTCTGAAAATATGCTGAAAGGCACAAAATAGCCTTCATTAAACTCCTTTCTTTGGAGAGAATTAAAATGTCTTAGTAAGGGTTTATTACTGAAATTTCCCCGACTTTCTTATCTTAGTTCAGCAAGTACGCAGTCCTTTCTTCATGTTTTGCAGTTATTATGAATCACGCATACCATAACACAGGGATAATTGCGAAGCCGTCTTATCCAAACGTCATTTCACTGACCTCAAATAGGGGATATTTTCTAATTTTGAAGAAACCAAAAAGATTTCTTTGCCATATTTCATTTCTTTGCATGGCTATTTCGCAAAATTTGTAAAGGGTTTTGGACTGAAATGTTTTACTATCCTCACTGAACGCAGTTGATATTTCGGTGGTTGTTTTAACCTATCAGATTGCGAGATGCGTTGGTTTGACGAATGGAATGGCGTTAGATTGCGTGAAGTGCAACATCCGAACACGTCCTTGATTCAGTACGTGCTATTGCGATAGAAGTTTGAAAAGGCTTTTACTTGTAATTGAAATTCATTTATCCTTCCATAAAATTCTGAATATTCCCCTACAGGTGTAACCCTATGAAATACCATAAGCACCCAATTAAAATACCGTGTGGTATTAATAAACTTAGGTTTCGTGATTACAAGAAAGAACAACGATTGCGTTTAGAAGCTTACAACAAAAACGTCATGGAGGTTATTTGTTGTGATAAGATTCCTCACAAAAAAGCATATCCCCCATAGTCATCCCTAACCGGAAAGTTAAGACCTGAAGGTTACTATAAGGAAAGAACGTGCATATAGGTCTGGAGACCGTTAAGTTGGCACTTCAAAAGAAACCGGTAACGACTGCGATGCCAAAACAGTCGGCTGAAAATTTCGAATTGCCCTCGTTTACACGAAGCAATTTGCATGTTGCTCTCCATTACTTAGATATCCCTCTATGACGTGACGTTTTTCAATTAAATTAACTTTATCTGGGTTTCAGAGCTCACACATTAATTCAGCACGAGTTGAATGTAAGCATTGGGGTAAAAATTGTCGCATCCTCTTAATAACATTTTCTTATTTGTATGTTTTAGGTCCAATCTGTAATAATCGGTTTGTATCGTTCGCTGCAGCGCAGAAACGTCTTAAATACATCTTTATGGCTAGTATACGTTAATTGGTGTCGCGTCGTTTTTCAAGTGCATGCCATAGTCATTCGGTTCGAAGGAATACTGACATTTCAGGCCGCCTTTGGCTATGGTTTTTTAGAGTTCCCAAAAGGTACATCAGGTAATTCAGAAAACCGGTTGCTTAGCATACGCAGGCCATCGATAGATTCTCATCAGGTGATTACGTTAATATGGGAACGTGGTAGACAGAAAAATAGGCGCCGCAAAACAGACTGGACTCCTATATTAAGCCGCAAATCCCAATGTGGTTGCTGCATTTTCAAACACAATAAGATGGATTCGCCTGAATATGTTTGAGTAACTTACTTTTCTATGGAACTGTAACAAATAAATTAAAATGTTCCCAAATTTATCCCCAATCCTCACGCGCTGCGGAGACCCCTTATTTTCCCAAAGGACGCCCTTTCTTGAAATTACATTTCTTGGGATGTCTTCCTTCCAGTTTATGCAAAACCCCTTATTCTTGAGCGAGCTCGTTCCGATAGGCTAATGTTATATTTTTCATTATATTAAATATAACTCGAGCCTAGTGAAAAACTAGGCCCATCGGCCCAATTATGTAAAACCTAATAGGGATTAAAAGAAATCATATCCTACATTATTGGAAAGCCTACTAGTATTCATGCACAATGAAGTCACACAGCATAAGGCTGTAAATGACCTTCTTTACTCTTAAGCAGCAGTGTACGGAATGTTTTCTTTGTGTAGCGGCTAACTTGCATCGCGAAAAAGTCCTAGCAGGTGTTTCCTTTCAGACGAGACCAAACTGCAGGAGAGCTAGCTGCAAGCTGTGGTTATAATTCAATTTGTATTGTCAAGTAAAATACTCATTTGCGCCCTCTTTCAGGTCGTTTGATAGCCTTTCTGAAAAAAAAACTATTTCAGTAGAAGCGGAAATAACACGGAGGCCAAGAGAAGGTTTTAATTCCAGCTAGGCTATGATTTGATCACATTAACTTAGTGTTCTTTTTGAAAGCGGACAGCGATGCCCTCAAATGAAGTGCCCATCAGTAGCTGTCCAAGATCTGGCGTAACTTTTAACAAAAGTAATGCAAATAAACAGCAAGGTAAAACAATTTCTTTTGCCTCAGTACGAAGTGAGTGAGTTCTCTTGCCGTTATTAATTTTCCTTTTCCTTCAAACTTGTGAGATGTCGCTATTTTCTAGTCTGCCATTCTCCTCTTTTTTAGGATTGCTCATAGATCCTTTCTATGCCGGAATAATGAAGCTGCAGAAGGAAATTCTCAACCCCGGAGGAGTCGAGGTGCGCGCCTTTGCATCCAGCCTACTTTCAGACGTCGCCTTTGTCGAAGTGGATGGCAGGCTTTGGTGAGTAGAAAAAAGTGCTTCCTCTTCAAAACGTGACTTTTTTCACCAAAACCTGTAACTGTGTGTGTGTGGTTTTAAGAAACTGCTGCATTTTCCGCTTTAGCTTTTTAACACATATACAAGCAGATGGCGTGAGTTTGAAGCTAGGGCTAGACTCGTATACTGCGCTAATGTGATTTCCATTACCTTTGGTTACTCTCTCTGTATATTCGCTGTATATGTCCACATTATAGCAGTGTGCTTTTTACTGGTCGTTCCTTTTGTGTCGGTATCCCCTTCTTGCGTATAGTAGTAGTCGTCAGGCGACTACCTGCGAGAGTTTTCGTGTAAGCCCAAGGACCTGACGCGAAGACCATGTCCTATAGCCTTATAGGGGAATGTACGTCGCAACTGGCAAAATAGCGGACCTGTGGCCAGAGATCCCGGGTTTGAATCCCAGGTACTCCAAGCTTGGGGTCGGGAATGGTTGGCTGATGACGGATAATAGGTCCTAAATGGCCGTTCCTCACATCTCCTTTTTACATACCATTCCTGTATATATTATCAGTAGCCGTGCGAATGCTTCCGAGGACAGTATTAGTAGTGAAAATTCGATTCCCAGGTGGTAAGTCAGAAGGAGAAAGGGCGTTCACCGGGGAGGTTTATTTCTTATCTTACCTTTCGGAGAGTTTCCTAGTTTATCCATCTTCAGAGGGTAAACACACTGGCTCCTGCCGGTTGACGTGGCGTGCGGTTACGACCTAGCGATGCGAGTCACGCAGATCGGCTCAAACTGGATTGGTAGGCTGCGCACACGGAAGAAAAGAGCGGCATATACCGAGAGCCAGGAGCCAGAGTATTCACTCTCTGAAGATGGATAGACGAGAAAACTATCCGAAACATCGGATATCAAATAAACCTCTCCCGGGGAACGCTCTTTCTCAAAAGCTTGCCATATCTGATAGTTATTATCGACGAAGATAAACACGACTGAAAGGACAACTACAGATAGTCGCTGCTTTGTTAGTAAACCCTAGGTGGTAACCGCAGGCCGCATCAACCGGCAGGAGCCAGAGAATTCACTCTCTGAAGTTGGATGAACGTGACAGCTATCCGCAACGTCAGAAAAAATAAACCTCTCCCGGCGAACGCCCTTTCTCCCTCTGGCTTCCGAGAGCTTTAGATTGAGCTCCAAAGCCTAAGGGTACGAGAATGCCCCGCAACCCGATAAATGAAAACAATTTCTATGATAAAAGGTTGTTTTATTTGACAATTCATGTAGCAGTGATGCTTGATATTTAATCCAGACTACAGAGCAGAATATGGTCTCCGAATTGACTACAGAGCTCCGGTCTTGGCTTATAGCCGAATGAAGTTGATAAATACGCCATAACTTTCCACTTCGATTTACCTTCTATTTCCTGGTTACGCTTCTTAAACACTGTACCTATTTAATTTATCACTAAGAAGAACATTTGATGTTGCCTGTAAAGTTACTATGTAAAACATCTTGTAATCCCTATCGGTAGAGGCGAACTTTCGTATGCTCCAATCAGGGCAAATGCAAGCCTGCAGTGTGACCTTACATGGGATGTACTGAATGTTTTTTTCATGCCTGTACATCCGCCTCCGCCGTGAAGGGCTGGCCCACTTTCGACATTTGTTTTTCACTCCCGCCGGATGCTTGGCCCTAGTGGCTGGCGATCCTGTCCGTTTGCCTAAAGTGAGAACGATGGATAAAGTACTTGTTTAAGCCGATGATCAAAATAATTCTAAGTGCCAAACCATCTGATTCGACGGCAGAGGCTCACGCAACCGGCAATCTAGGGCAAATATGTGGTCAGTCTACCAGCATCCAGCTTCTTGGGATCTTATTGTTGCAGTCGGTGTAGATTGCGGTCGCCTAATAGAAGCATTTATAAAATGGCCGTTTCTGGCTTATTATCCATCACCAGTCAGCCATATTTAACCCCATCAGTAGAGTATCGGTGAGCGCCCAGCTACCATTATGTATATGCTGGGACTAGGGGTATAAGAGGGGGACTGCATAAGCTACTTCTACCCACCCGTCTACCATTATATATGCCGACTGAAATCGGTAAGGCAAAAAGTCCGTGGCACAGTGGTTAGAGCATTGAACTTCTAGCCAAAATACCGTCTTTTCCAATCACGAGGCGGCTACCCCTGGGTTTGAGTATGGTTGGCCGATTGGAAAATAGTTTGCAAGACGTTTGAGGATATTAGTCCCGCATTAAGTCTCATCTTCGGTCGGTGGCCATGAAGAGGATTCAGTCTTTGTTGGAAGCTAGTGTCTCACCTCTCCTAACTAAAGTTGTCCTAATTAACGTCGTGGCCATGGTGACCGTTGGCTCCACGACTCTTGGTTTCTGAAGGACCCAAACTAGAAAAGTCTATTTTGGGCAGGAAGCGGAGAGCTATTTTGAAGCGGTGAACTACAGTTCTTCAGGTTTTAAAAACCACAATCGAATACAGTTTCGAAGTCCCAGCATTGCAGACTTAGGACCCTTTATGATGCGAATTTTTCCAACTTATGCGCGCAAAGCTTTCCAACTTACGAAGAAGCCGTCGTCTGATTAATGATGCTAGTCAGACGTTGAGATAGTGCCATAAATGATACCTCATCAATCACTAGTTTATTTACATAAGGTTTCATCTGCTATTAAGTGGCGCCGTTTCCCAATCACTATAAGTCTATGTTTACAGGTTATGTCTTTTTGAAATGTGGTTCAAGTATCGTCCCTTCACCAAACTATTCGGCCATCGTTATTAGTTTTTGTGATTAGTCTAGTAAGCCAATGTCCTGTCATGTATTCAGAGTGCCCCCGCGGGTGACTCACAGCTGCCTAGTCAATGGATTTTTATTCACTTTCACTACAGCTATCTCAATGATAGAGGCACGGTCCAGACTCTACTACGTTTAGCGAATGACAGCGGACCATCACTTTATTCCCGTGTTCTCGGGAAATTTGATGAAATTTCTGCTGCTTCCACGTGTCACCGTAAAAAAATGATTGTTGTTGTTGTTAAGTGGTCATAGAAAGTAAACTTCCCTCTTTTTGGTGTATCGATCTATCAGACAGAATTTTGGGGCAACAACAGAAAGGTCCTAAATATTAAGTCCTTCAAACGATTTTTTTCTTATCCAATGGAAATGTATTTATCCTCCAAAAGGAATACCGGCAAATGCAAGGCTTAATAGCCGTCGTCGGACGGTAATTCCCAAATCCATGTTTTGAGGACCTGAGAGTCTGGTGTTTGTAAGGTCTTTATCCCCAAGCAAGTTTTAGGACCAAAAGAGAGGTCTAATCTAGGTTTTAGGCACGCCAGAGTCAGCAAATTGGTGAGATGTCTGAGCAGCAGCTATAATTGCATGGCAGGTGGTTGAATAATTTTAATTACCAGAATATTGTCGAAATAGGCAGAAGGATCTGCCTACTGCATCCTCGCTTATTCGTCATGGCTAGCCAGCTGTGTGTCAACCTCATGTTGGAACGGCGAGCAAGGGCTTTAGTCTGTGGCTCCGTTTCAAAATGTAGAGGCCTGGATTACCTTCTATACGCAGACCTATTCGGTAAATATCAGATTTTTGTGGGTCCAACCGATGTGTGCCGCAGGCATTTGTACAAAACGATACAGGTAATTGTAAATTGCCACAAGGTACCCATGGGGCAAATTTTCGATCAACAAAGATTGACCTTGAGCACGTCAAGTTGTTAGTAAACTCTGGCCTGCAAGAAGCGACGATTATTGGATTACAAACTGTAAAGATTCTTGCCAGTAATAAAATACGCATGTAAGTAACACTTGAGAGACAAGTTAACGTGTTATCGGATAGGAAGTGCGAATGAGATAGACAAAATAGTTAAGTAAAGCAAGTCCAAGGAATCATGCAGATTGCGGTGTTATGCGCGGGTTTTATGGCAGTTGTTGGACCATTAAAACAGTCCCTTGGTTGTTGCTTAGTGACCAAGCTTTCATGGTGACTGGACCTTGGTTTTATTGAACTCTCAATATCATGTAGTTGTTCTATCTTACCAAAGCAAGCAACCAAAATATCCTGAGAGTCTGTAACAAATCAACTTTTATGGCTGGATTTTATATTCTAAGCCAATCGAGCATCTCAAGAGGTTCTAGACGGCACAATGGCATCCTGGTGTGATTACGGGTGAAGAACACAGCTCAAAGTCTTGAAAAGAGCACGTTTCAACCCGTGAATTATTAAGCATTGCCAGCAAAGGTTGAATACGTTGAAACATTACTGCACAATTTAACTTCTGGTAACTGAATTCAATATTGTTTCCAGCTGACCTGGTAGGGGAAATCTTACTGACGGAAGCGGTTAGGGAGTTCCGCTCAATTAGAATCTGTTGTAAAGTAAACCCTTTACAGTGGCCGACCCAGCTGGCGGTTTCATCGTCCATCCACCTTGTTCTGTTTGATTAAATTAGATTCATTATTAAAAGAAATCTCCGCCTATGCATATGGGCAGCCAGTAAATGGAAACAATGCAAAAGTTTGCCCGCTAACGGAACGAGATTTCTCTAGCTTCAACCCGAGGCCGAATACTTTACAGATACCTCGAAAATGACCTCATTCCAAACGCAGTTCGTTCAGACCATCATGTCACGTATGACACAGAAAACGTCAGGGACGCATCAGTATACATCTGTAAATGTAAACGAACTGAAATTCGGATGTTTGTGATTTTGGTAGGATATCACATGACCGCTTGATTCGCAAAGTCTCGGCCGGTCATTACAAAGGCTGAACATATCTGTGTCCAAATAAACAATTAAAAAGCGCACCAGATATCACATGCGAACGCGGGCTATCGAATAGTTCTTATCTGCCTATCCGGTAACCAAATGTGAACAATTTTGTCCTCCTCGTGGGGTAGATGAGCTGAAACCAATAGAGATGTCTCTCTGGAGACCGTTTTCTGGTTCGCTGGCCGTCACTGAGCGATGAGCAGCCAAATATAAAACTTTTTTCCCCTGATG